TTATTACATTTAGGCGACGCTTGTTGTAGACTGGCATAGTGTTTGCGGAAATAAATACCATTTTATACACATGCGCAGATCGATTCGCCAGCAGCGAGTCATCGCCAGCAACAGCGAGCCATCGCCAGCAGAGAGATGTCACTGCAGCAAAACAATATTGTACCAACGCTGTTCTAATATATAGACAATGGGTCGTGCTCATATTATTTGTTATATTTTTATTATTCATTATTTTCACTTGACATTTTATGCAGTTGTACTTCGCAGCACTTCACTTGCAATTTGCAATTTCTAGTTATAGTCATGTTAAAATACATTAACTTGACACAACAATTTTTCTTGTAAAAAAAATGGTTTCTACTCTTTAAAAAGCCATTGAACAACACATGATCGAATTGATGGCAAATCAATGCACATGGGGAATCCCTGAATTGGTTGAATTAATTTTTGTAAACAGTTTAATACGACTTGTGGATAGGTACAGTATTTAAATTATAATTTTACCGTTCTTACTAAACGTACTTAAATTAGCTACAGTAGTAGCCTAGATGTATTTCAATTAAATAAAATAATTGATTGATTGTGATAATGAGCTAGAAGTATTTGTTTCACTCTCTCACATCATGACCACAATGTCGAGCCAGGCTGTTTATTCCACGTTCTGCATCCATACTTCGTAGAGAGATGCAAATCATGCCAACGTTGTTTTGTTAGTGATCAGACAACATGGGAAATTATGTTTGAATAAAACATTAAAAATAATTTTTTTGTCTTACCATGGACATGTATTGTATGTGTTTTTTACATCTCCCTGGTCTCACTTTTTTTGTAATGATTAAATATCTTACAGAAAATACATGCATATCATTATTTGTTGTTTACTTCTTGCTTCATATTGTACAGTACTCTATAAACGTGGTCTTCTATGTTCTTCGCGATCAATCGGTGCTCAATGCTCGACCCGACTTGAAGACTATAACAATGTTGTTTTTGTTAGTGACGACGTGGGTAAATGTGTTTGAATGAAAACAATAAGATGTTATTTAATTTGTGATGATTGACTATCATATAACAATACAGGTAGGCCTAGAAGAATACCATCTTGATTTCGTTGTAATTGAGTTTTAGCAAAAAAACCTCGCGTAGGCCTAGGCCTTGTATTTAGGTCAAGTGTGTTCACTCAACAAATGATTGAGTAAAATGAACATAACATTTCCAGTTCATAATTTCACTTCTATTTGAAAAGTTAACACAATGGTTTAATAATTTATTTAGTGATTAAACTACATACTGTGCTATTGTAGTAAATTTAATTACGTTTCATAAAAAAAAAAAAAAAAAATCATAAATTAATTAGTGCCATGGTGAACTTATCGGAGGAATCACTGCAGCTAGGGAGGCCTAGCTAATGTCGAGTGCTAAAAATGCAAGTTTAATAAAGTATGACTGTGAATGTGTTAACATAAATATATTGTGATTTGTTTACGGCGATGTAAATATATCTACTTCCTTTAAAATAATATTTTGAAATTAACTCGCTTTTTATAAACTTCTAAATCAGCAACAGAGTACATAGTATGTTAAGGCGAGACTTCTTTTATTCCTTGTTTCGTGTACTTAAGATCATCGGAGGACGGAATGAAAATAAAAATAAAATTTTATGTTCTTATTTAGCAAATAGTTTTGCCAAAAACATCCAGACGAGGGAAAAAATAAAAATGGAATTTTATTGGTGAATGTAAAATAGGACGGTTAAATGCTTCAAATTGATATAAATAGGAAGAAATAATGCATATCTTATCATCAGAGATTTCAAGGCCGCAGAGAGCATAATAATAATAAAGAAAAACTTATTTTCTTATGAAATTTCCACTTATTTGTGGCAGCGGATGCGCTAATTGGCCAAAAATAATATTTTAATTTTTATTCGAAACCATCAATATTTTCAGTCGGCGGGTTCACTAAACAAGGCATTAAAAAATCTCGCTAAACAATCAAAACTTTATAATATATTCTAAGTTTTGCATTGTAAGTTTATATTCACAATCAAATATACATAGGATAATTACTACTGTATTCATCCTTACATTAGGTTTTTATTCAAATATTAAATTAGTTTTTGAATAACAGTTAAAATAGATATATTAAAGTGCGACAAGCTCTGGAGGCGCTCAGTCAAAAAAAAAAAAGATGTCATATGTACCATGCTGTAGTGATGTGTTGTGTATGTGTGGTGTAGTACTGTACTCAATGCATACTAAGTGAAAAATTAAACCCTTTTAAAATTACAGCTATATTAAGAGCCAATGGGCAAACATGCCTTTACAAATCCTTTAAACAATTGCAAAAAAACCTGGATAGTCAGTCGCCTATATTTAATAAACATATATGATACTATAAGAATGTTGTAATACTGTGGCTCACAATGCAAGCCAAAAGACTGTACAATTATTTAAAAAACAAGGCCTTGTTCTGTACTTACTCTTTGGCAAGCATGGAACGGACACAACTCGTCTTGCCCACACCTTCTTTGCCAAGGAACATGACTCTGGAATTAACCATCGTAATTTTCCCATTCTGGACTTCATATGTGAATGCTTTAATGGCTTCAGGACCTCTCGCTAATAATTCTCCTGGAACTATAAAATATAACAAATATTATTTCATATACTACAGTAGTATTTCATCCATCCATTTTATAGTTTACTGTAATAAATTACCATTTCTTACCTTACTTTAACATATTTAATACATATAAGATTCTAGAATAACATATAATTGATCAAAGAAACAGTGTAAACCACATTGGTAATTTTAGGAACACATGACACCATGTAGAATCCAAGAGTAATATATGGAAGCTTCTAGAATCTTTGGTACTATAGAGGCAAATAAGCCCAATTGGTTAATTATAATGTAAGGTGACCAATGAGGAACTTAGGCAAAATAGAATGATCTTGAATGTTCTGGAATAGTGCAGCAGGGGTATTTAAGCTGATAGTCTTATCTTTCTGGAGCTCTTTTTGAAGCACATGTTTATGTGAATGTTATTGTATTGTTTTGAGACCGGATTCTTGTTGGAGTTTATACAGAATAAAAGTTTATTTGAGAGTTGTTTTACAACATTGTGAGCTGTGTTTATATTTTATATGTCAAAGAGGGATTCCTAGTCATTTCTATACCGCTCGGAAATACGTCAAGTAGGAATTCATGACATTTACATTAAACATATTGTGATTATTTTGTTTAAAAAAAAATAACCATCACAGTAAAAACTGATTTCTGAAAATAACACATCAAAATATGTAATTTTATATCATGGTGTTGAAACACTGAGAGACTTAACTACTTCTAGAGCATAAACATGTAAAACAGAAAATAACATTAAAATAAAAAGTTACAAGAATAATACAGGAACTGAAATATAAAAGTACAAATGTATAGTATTTTCTATTACATGTGTATACAGTATTATTTCTATGAACCATATGCATATCATAGGATTGATTTTTGCCCTTTGACTCGGGTAGGAATCCAACCCACGAACTCCAGATAACAATGATTGATAATTTTTTACTTAAATTGTACATTTACCTTTTTAATTTTGTAGTATTTTTTGCCTCAAATTTTCAAAATGTTAAGTGAAGTTGATTTTTTTTTTAAATTTTTGTTTACTTTTCTATTCTTTTTACTTTTGATTCATCGTTGTTGTGTAGAATGCAGATAATTTGATCAATGTTTCCACTAGGTCTATGCTACAGCCAGACTACTGAAATAACCGTAATGCTGTAAAAATAAATAAGTTGGAATTGTATAGCACATCCATGCAGAAAAGCCTCTTAGTGGATGGAATATAATGTAAAATAAGGCCTAACCTAGAAGTAATTGCGTACAAAGGTTTTTAAGCGGATTTCACTTCTACATCATGTATGTGATCTCCGAAAAAAAGTCCCGAGAAATCGGACACCGCGAAGGGTCATTTTTGGTCATTTTAAGGTCATTTGAGGTCAAAAAGTTATGATATCACTTTTTTAGACATTAAATATTTTTCCATCATTTTTACATTGATATTGATGTCAAATTAAAGCTGATTAAATTTTGAATTTAATGACATAAACTTTGTTGATCACAACTGCGTTTTAATGTGGATTTAAAGCTAATTAATTACTTTTTAAGCACTTTTTTTCAGAAAAATTATATTTTAAAAATATTTAATGACATTCTATGGCCCACTGGAAAGCTTAAAACGTTTTAATGTTTTCCTAAAATGATCTATAAGGACTCTAAGACACTAGAGTGACACTTGTAAAATCATATGCCTCAATTAGGAGCATTTTTTTAAATTTGAGATTTAAAATGGACGTATTTAACCAATTTCACAAAAAAACTCTACACAGGCCCCTTTGGGCCTCCATACCTAATGTTCTTGAAATAGAGCTTGCCGATTGGCTGATAGTTTTGTACAGCCTGACAGCCAGCATCACTACACTACCAGGACAATTTGTTTGTCAGTTTTATCATCATTTTTCAGGTTAGTGTTTAGTTACGTTCATTGTGTTTACATCTTTTTAGATATAATCAGTACAAATTAGGCATGATAGATAAATTAATTGAATATGCAGTTATTGGCCTCATTGTATATATTATACAATGAGGCCAATGACTAAGCTCTGATTTGTCCCCTAGGCAGAATCCAGGCAGCAAAGAGGGGAGGCCTCTAGACCAGGCAAAATTGTTTTACTGTACACAGATTAAAGCAGTCAGGTATTACAATATATATCACTGTATTTTACACACTCTATTTATTATCAAAATATTATATATATGGATTTATAGTTACTATAGTTTATACCAAATGTAAAGAATAGGGAAGAACAAGTTACATTTATTTACTGTACACAAAATTCTAATTCATACTGTATTAGCTTAAAATTTTAAAATATGAGACGAGAGTGGGGAAGATACAAAAAACATTGTACTGTACTTAACGACAAAATGTTCTTGAAATAAACTTTGCTGGCCTACCCGCATCAATAGCAACAATTTCAATTACAGACTAGGTCTGGAAGGTTACACACAATTGACTGGTCCAGATATACAAAAGCTCTAGGCCTGTGCTGACAAAATTTCCTTTCATGAGTGATGAGATTGTCAAAAAAACAGAGCACAGTTGTCATATGAATTGTCAAGAATGAATCTATTTACATAAGATCTGTTGCATTAATGAGGATGGACTTATCAGGTATCTTCCATAAAATTTATAAATAATTCTTCCAACACAAAGTTTATTTCATCCTCTATAGCATCAAAAACCCAGGGCAGTCTTCACAGCTTCTGGGAACTTGTCCCTAATCGCCCACACACTGCAAGATTGGATGACCCTTCTGTCAGATTTCTTTAGCCTGTTAAACACCTACCAAATGAAAGCCATTGATATCCAACATGTCGGCATTTCCTGTAAGAAGAGAAGTACAATAAAAAGTTTGAACAGACTAGTTTAAAAAAATCAGAGTGACTAATCTTACACCATTCAAAAATAATTAGTATTGATATTACAATGTCTTTATAAGGAATTATTATCATTCTGGCACTAATCATCAATGATAATTTTTGTTGAAAATATATATTCTAATTAACCATCACTGTGAAAAGCCCATATTAAAATGTATTGCAAAGTGGTGTAACATAGCAATTATTTTATTAATATTAATAAACAATTATTTTGAATAGAATTTATTATTTCATTAATATAATACTTTTTTGTAATATAAAAATAAAAATTAGTTTAAAAATTACAAATGAAGATAAAACAATATATGTATAATAGACTATCTTGTTTCTCAATCTTTTCTAATGTACAGTAATAATAATTCCCCTGTATTTTGACCATCAAAATGGCTGCACATTTGACCCTCTACTAGTTTTTGATCCAGCATGGAACAAGCAGGGCCACGCCTAAGGTGGGTGGTTACATTTCCGAGAAGAATGCCCGAAAATTAGTCCTTTGAACTAATCTGAATACTGTATATAACCATTGCAAATGTATTATGCAGAAGTTAAGTTCTGTGCACATTTTTCCAAGCCATTTTCCGCGCAAATTTGAGCTAGCTTTCAAGGCATCATCCACATTCCACGACGAATAAACTCGCATTTTAGTAATGCCTAGCTGTACTAGTAGTAGTAGGTCCTAGATAGTTCCATGGATCTAATAATTAACATGTAAATTAATGCACTTTATTTAAAATAGTGTTGATTGTTTGTCTAATGTTTGAAATATTATTATTATAGTTTGTATATGCCTAGGCCTAAACTAGGGGCCTAGGCCGCGCCAGGCAGTTAGTATTCCGTATTCTCTACATAACATACATTACTGCACTAAATGCTAGGCTATGCCTACACAGGTAAGACAAGTTGGTATTAAACAAACCTATTTAACGCCACTATTAAGATCACCACTTCCAAGACTTCCTTATCCAAACCAGCAAACATATCTTTTTGAAAGATTCATTCTTCAAAAATGCCTTCGACTTATTTTACTATTATTATTGAATATTTTCGCCAGTCCTAATTTTTCAATTTTCCGCTCGCGACGACCATTCTCATCAGTTGGCTGTGTGTCGTTACCAGCTCGTTACAGTTGAGTGAATCAGCTGACTCCCTGTCTAGTGCAAATTTCCGAAATAAAAACTGGGGCAAATCGTTATTTTACACATAATTGAGACATTTTCATAAGTGAAAACCCGTATAAATGAAAAGAACGGCCAAATTTACATTAGAATATCTAAAGTTTGACACGATTTTTTATGGGGTTACCGAATGCAAGCCTTTGAAAGTCGGTACATTTTAGGAAATTAACTATCTTATAACACTAGCTCAAAATCCTGTAGCACCAGTTTTTTTTTGGGACCCAGTTCACGAGCCTCGTTTTCGAATACCGCGCTCCAAAATCGAGTGCCGTCACCGTCGTTGTGCTCGCCCATCCCTCTATTTTAAATTAAAAATTAATTATTTCATCGCCGCACCCCCCCTTTAAGTGAAGTTGATTTTTTTTTAAAATTTTTGTTTACTTTTCTATTCTTTTTACTTTTGATTCATCGTTGTTGTGTAGAATGCAGATAATTTGATCAATGTTTCCACTAGGTCTATGCTACAGCCAGACTACTGAAATAACCGTAATGCTGTAAAAATAAATAAGTTGGACTTGTATAGCACATCCATGCAGAAAAGCCTCTATGCATGTATCACATCCATTGAGTGCATGTAATAGGTGTAACTTTGTTTTTACTGTTTCTTTCAGTGACAAGTTTTGTTGGCAGTGTACACTTGCAATGTGATATACATGGGAGATCCAGAGATATTAACAAGAGGGCAGGGGCTGAGTCCAAAACATTAGAAATATTTTTTCTCTAGAAGTACGAGGTGGTATTTCCAGCATCTTGCAGGATACTGTCATACAATTGTTTTGGATTATTTAGGATAAGCTGTTGTACCATTGCTGGATTTCAAGCATAAAAATCATAGTAAAATACAGTTTAAAATATTGAGCTTTCCATGAATATTAAAAATATATATTGTTTATTTACAGGTATGTAATTGCATCTTATGCAATACTTGGTTAAAATTAATTTAAATTTACAATAAAATTGATATGATTGACTAATTAAATATTTACTTTATTTCTTTCACTTCAAAAAGGCATCCTAAAAAAGGAGATGGAGTTAGGACCCACAAGACGTCCACTAAGGTGGCACCCAACCAGATATTAGTAATTAAGGTATAGCCATGCCTAGAAAGCTATATAGCTGAGGCTTATGACATGGTTCTTCCAAATAAAGCAAGCTCTGTGATTTTTGCCAATAGGTTCAGGAATATTTAACGTACAACAGATAACTTACCTATAAGCAATTTTTTAAGTTCATCTTTCTTTTCCTCCTTTGTTGATACTTCATATTGACTACATTTATTACGATCATAATAATCAAGAGGTGTATTCCCTTCCTGTAATAACAAGATCATACAAAAAATTATAGTATATTTCACTGGATGGCGGCTGCAAACTACATCAGCACAACAAAGGGAAGATTTATAAATGATAATGGCGAAAATAATAATTCAAAAAAATAACCAACACTATCAGTATCACAATATTTATATCATATATTGGTACAAGAATAAGTGATGGAATTTGTTCGTATAGAATGGAATCAATGCTCTTATGTATTAGGTTGGTTTTGGTAATTAGGAATGTTTGTATTATTGTAATGAAGACACTGACTAATCCTTCTGAATCATTTCTATTTTCTATACATTACCCTATCTTTTTGGTAGACCGATGCACCATATGTTATCAAGCACAATACCGTTTCTCGCTGTTCATCATAACTACCCTGAGCACTTAGACAGTAATGTAGTGGTGTTAGTCCAGAATAGCGA